TGTGTGTGTGTTTTGTATGTGTACTGTGCATGTGTATGTATGGGTGTGTGTGTGTATGTGCGCATGTATGTACAGTATGTATGTATGTGTGTACGTGTGCATGTGTGTGTGCGTGTGTATGTATGTGTGTGTACATGTGTGTGCACGTGTGCATGTGTATGTGTGTGTACGTGTGCAAGTGTATGTATGTGTGTGTACATGTGTGTGTACGTGTGCATGTGTACGTATGTGTGTGTACGTGTGCGTGTGTATGTATGTGTGTGTGCATGTGTATGTATGTGTGTGTGTGTACGTGTGCGTGTATGTATGTGTTTGTACGTGTGCATGTGTATGTATGTGTGTGTACATGTGTGTGTACGTGTGCGTGTGTATGTATGTGTGTGCGCATGTATGTGTGTGTGTGCATGTGTATGTATATGTGTGTGTACGTGTGCATGTGTATGTATGTGTATGTATGTGTGTGTGCGTGTGTATGTATATGTGTGTGTACGTGTGCATGTGTATGTATGTGCGTGCATGTGTGTGTACATGTGTGTGTATGTGTGTGCATGTGTATGTATGTGTGTGTACGTGTGCATGTGTATGTATGTGTGTGTACGTGTGCGTGTGCATGTGTATGTATGTGTGTGTACGTGTGCGTGTGCATGTGTATGTGTGTGTGTGTGCGTGTGTGTATGTATGTGTGTGTACGTGTGCGTGTATGTATGTGTGTGTGTACGTGTGCATGTGTATGTGTGTGTGTACGTGTGCATGTGTATGTATGTGTGTGTACGTGTGCGTGTATGTGATCAGTTTTTTCCCCTCCCGGTGACGTCACAGCAGGGATTGTGTGTTTTCACGTTGCCCCCGTGTCGCCGCTCGTTTTTCTGTTTCCAAAATTTGAAATGATTTAATTCTCAGCAATTATCACCAAACTGTCTTCACATCGTCCTGGGATCAAACAATGACATTTATCTCCTGATTTTCTAGTTTGTGCTTGATCCATCGCTGGCAAACCTGCGTCTTTTCCCAAACGCTTACCTCGGTGCGTGTCTGGACGGTCACCCGGCTCCTTCTGGAACTCTCTTTGTTGTGTGCCATTTTTTATAATCTGTAAATGAGCTTACGAGCACGCACGCTTTTGATCCACGACTTACTCATTTTCTTTATTACAGCCGGCGTGGGATTTTTAGATTAGATATCATTTGGCACATAAACCCCTTCCTAGAAAATCAGCAGAAGGAGGAGGAGGAAGAGGAGGTTGGGGTGTGTGGTGGTGTGGGGCCCCCAGTGGTCCCTAACAGCCTGAGTGGTGGACCGGCCCCGTGTTTGCGCAGGAGTGATTAGCGTGTGTGTGCGTGCGGCTTTAGCGTGTGGTGCGTGCGGCTTTAGCGTGTCCGCTCACCGTGTTTGCCAACGGCGTTTGTTTGGCGATGGCGCTCGGTGCTCGTTCGTACGGAGGTTGTCGTTGCCGCGAGGGTCTTACTCTTACTCCAAGGATAGTTTTGCGTACATTCTGACTGTGTTTACCCTTTAGGCGCCAAAGTAACGGAATTGCTACTCAAGCTCTTTAATCCTGATCACTTTCTATACAGGGACTTTGCTTCCCACGATCGTATCTGTACATTTTTCAAACATCATTTTTTTTCTATGTATTTCCATTATTGATTAAAGTAGTCCACTATCTTTTAATAAGTTACAGGGCCTCACCTTTTTCTTTTTTTTAACTATCCATGTCTTAACTTTAAAACAGCTCTGCTTGAGTAAAAGTTTCTCCATGGCCTCGCGCCAAAATATAGACACTGTAGAAACAATGTGGTCTGAACAAATGTGTTGTTTATCAGTAATGCATATAACAGGGTCAGATGCCACACTACTAACAAATAAACACTATATTTATCTCACATAGTTTCACATTTTAAGTTAAATTACAGAAATAAAGTTGAGTTTGTACTTGCGTATAGCTCTGAATGAAGGTTGTTACTTATATCTCCAGTGAATAATATCTCCTGACATTGCAGAAAGACCTGGTGCCACATTGCTAGTATTTGTTTTTACTTGATCCTGCAAGAAATTGTGGGAACTAAGCATATTGCAGTGGCGGCCATGATGCACTTATTTTGACTCTGAAGGCTCTATACTTGCAGAACTCATACTTTCAACAGCTGGGTTTGGAGAAAAGAACAGAAGAGCTAGTTTCAAAAGTAGTCTAACTTTTTACTTGGAGATAAATGCCAAACTGTGCGAGATCGGAGCTGATGCAGTGGTTTTGTGAGAGAAGGAGCAGCGTCTGACGTCAAAGCTCTCGATATATACCGGTCATTCTACGTTGTCGACCCTCGCCTGCGGTCATGAGCGAACCGAATGGACGAGAGATCGCGACAAACAAGAGGTGGTAAAGAGTGCTCATGAAGAAGCCCAGAAGTGAAGTTTGAACACGCACACGCACACACACACGCACACAAAACACACATACACACACACACACACAAAACACACAGCCCTGATTAGGGGCTTGTGTCACTCCCCGGAACATGAGAGGAGCTATCCAGAAACGCTTCATTCTAAGAAGCCTCGGAAGTTAACCCTATCACCCAGGCCTGGGCCCAGACGATTGCGGGCGCCAAATCAAAGTGTGACTTTGTGATAAAAAAAAGTCACTGTTTGTGGTTGGGACCGTTTCATTCTTGGTTCACTGCAAAGAAACAATAAAACGCTAGACCTTAAACAAGAAAAGAGATGGATGCGTGCTTGGTTTTTTTGAGGACGTTGACTGTCAAGTACAAAATGGCGTCTCAAAAGTTGCCGTTTATTCATATTTGGCGCTCTTCCAAAACCATTTGTAAAAGTTGTTGGTGTCTGTAATCAAATGAATGAATAAAAAATACGGCAAACTTTTGTTATTGTATATTTTCTGCTCAACTTTGCTTTGAATTTTACCTCATTTAAAAAAACTATACAATATGAGGTTATATTATCTTGAACCAAGTGTTTTTATATTAATATGAATATTTTCTTACTGTGCCAAAACAAGAAATGCCAATGGGACAAACATAATGTGGTCTTCTTTCACAAACTGTTGCTTCATTTTCTCATTCCAAGCGAGATATTTCTTGTATTTTTTAAAAACACGATAATTTTGCCTGTGCCACTTGCTAATCTTGTTTTAAGGCAATCAAAATCTGCTCAAATTAAGATACATTTTGCCAAAGTTGAGCAATTGTTGACTAATTTTTCACCACGTTTCTCAGCAAGAAGGTCCTGGGTTCGAATCCCGGTCGGAACAGGGCCTTTCTGAGTGGAGTTTGCATATTCTCCCCTGTGTCTGTGTAGGTTTCCTCCGGGTGCTCCGGTTTCCCCTACCACTAAAAACATGCACAATAGGTCTGAATGTAAATGAGAGAGTTGATTGGAGCTCATGGTCCAGTGTGTTCTGGACTCGCTTCTGTCGTCACCGTGTGTGGAATGATCGGAACAATATCTGACTCTGAACATTGTAAAGGGGTTAGGGTGCTTTGGGTCTGACCTTGGTCTGTAAAATGCGCTATATAGATAAACATTACTTACTTACTTACTCGTCAAACAAGACCAGAGAGTTTTTGGAGTTAACATTTGGGGAAATCCTCCAACACACCTTTAACTCAGCCGATCAATAATAACAAATAATGCCATTGGTTGAAGTTATGGCCAAAGTTGGAGACAGTTATAGATCGCATAAGCCGCTCACATCCCCCCGACAGAGAAGATTGCTGCTTGCCCATTGGATGAATAAATAAAATGTTTACATGGGTTTAATTGAGCTTAATGGCTTCCAGTAGGAGTCCGGATCCTGCCGACACACACCGCCCGACTTCCACTGCTGCACAATGCTCCTCCGACGGCAACACATTTGAAAAACAATGCTAGAGATTGATTTTTTTTTTTTAAAGGAGATTATACAATGTTATAAAATGATATGCCGGTTGTCTTAATGCTTAGTAAATTGTTATTAGGAGAACGTACACGGACAAACAACTTACAAGGATTGATTTCGAATACGCCGTGATATAAGCCACGGTTGTTAGTCGATAAGTGATAGTTCTTGTTACTTTTTCCCACTGCAAAAAAGGATAAAATATGAGGTAAAAATTGTTTGAATCAAATGTTTTTTATCTTAATTCGAGCACATTCTGTCTTAAAGTAGCGTTATGTAAGATTTTTGTGTCAAGTCATCATTAAAGGGCCCTAATCTGTCCGAAGGCATTAATAAAACATGCACTTTTCCAATTCTTCTTTAACTGAAAACAGTAGTTCAGAGATATTTGGATTTCTAAATTACTTTTACAGCCCCTAAATCTAGTTATTGTTTTCATTTTCGTCCGCCCGGGCATGGCGCAGCCGGGGCCCCACCCTGGAGCCAGGCCTGGGGTCGGGCTCGCAAGCGGATGCGCCTGGTGGCCGGCCTTAGCCCGACGGGGCCCGGCCGGCTCAGCCCGAAGGGATGAACGTGGGGCAGTCCCCTCCTGTGGGCTCACCACCCTGCAGAGGGGTCCGTGGTGGGCGTGAGGTGCAGAGAGGACTGGGCAGCAGTCGAAGGCGGAAATGGAGACTCGACGAACCCAGTCCACACACCCAATCATCTGGCTTTGGGAACGATGGAACGTCAGGACCCTCAACTGGGGGGGAGGAGCCGAATGAGCTTGTGGGGGAGGTTGAGCGAATACCGACTAGAGATAAGTCAGCCTTCACCTCCACACACAGCTTGGGCTCTGAGAACCCAACTCCTTGAGAGGGGTTGGACGCTCCACTTTTCCTGGTGTTTCCCGCGGGGGAGAGGCGGCGAGCGGGGTGGCCATACTCATTGCCCCCCCATCTCAGCCGCCACGTGTTGGAGTTCTCCCGGTGAATGAGAGGGTCGCGTCCCTCCGCCCTCCGGGTGTGAGGGACAAGTCCTCTCACTGTTGTGACGGCCTAACGGACCTTAAACGGTAGTGCAGAGTACTATCCGTGCCCCCCCCCCCCCCCCACCCCCCCCCCCCCTATTACCCCCCCCCCCCCCCCCCCCACCCCCCCCCCCCCCCCCCCCCCTTACCCCCCCCCCCCCCCCCCCCCCCCCCCCCCCCCCCCCCCCCCCACCCCCCCCCCCCCCCCCCCCCACCCTAACCGGCCTCTTGGAGTCACTTGGGAGGGGTATGGAAGGTGCACCGCCCGGGGACTCCGTTATTCTCTGGGGGACTTCAACGCCCATGTGGGAAATGCCAGTGACACTTGGAGAGGGGTGTGATCGGGAAGAGCGGGCCCCCTGATCTGAACCCGAGCGGTGTTCAGTTTGTTGGACTTCTGTGCCAGTCACGGCCTGTCCATCACGAAACACCATGTTCGAGCACAAGGGTGTCCATCAGTGCACGTGGCACCAGGACACCCTAGGCCGGAGGTTCAGTCGATGATCGACTTTGTCAGTCGTATCATCTGACCTTCGACCCGCGTTCTCGGACACCGGGGTGAAGAGAGGGGCGTAGCTGTCAACCGATCATCACCAGGTTCGTGAGTTGAATCCGCAGGCAGGGCAGGAGCCGGGTCAGACCTGGCAGCCAAGCGTGAATGAGGATTGCTGGGTACGTCTCCTGAGACCCCCTGTCAGACGGACCTTCAACTCACAGCCTCCGGGAGTAGCTCTCCCAGTCCCGGCAGAGGAGGGGGACATCGAGTCCGGTGGACCATGTTCTCTTCCTCTATTCGCCAAAAGCGGCGGCTCGTAGCTGTGGTCCCCGCATAGGTCTCTGGTGCTGTCCCGGCGGCAATCCCGAACCCCTCGGTGGTGGACAAACCGGCAGTAAGGGATAGCCGTCAGGCTGAGAAGGAGTCCTACAATTCGAGCAATGATGGTTCGTGGGTACCCTGAGGCAGCTGTCCATACCGGCAGGCCAAACGGCCGCGGCCCCGGGTGTAGCAGGAGGCAAAAACACGGACTGGAGGCGTTCGGATGAGTCCAAATGGGAGCATGACTATCCGGTCCGGTACCTCGAAGAGGATCTGGCAAACCGCCGGCGCCTCAGGGGGGGAAGCAGTTCTTGCCAACCACCCGTGTATGGTGCGGGTGGAGGGGCTGAACCACGCCTGGGGATATTGTCGGGAGGTTGGACGGAATACTTCGGAGGTTTCCTCCTCAATTCCCCCCTTCACGTCCCCGTCCATGTAGGCAGAGGCTAGGAGGATGTTGGGCGGACTTCCAACTCCTGGCCGAGGTCACCAAGGTGGTTGGCAGCCGGTCCATGGATGGCCAGGCGCCGGATTGGGAGAGATCCGTCCCCGACTATCTAGAAAGAGTCTCTGGATGATATGTGGACGTCTTGGCTGACACGTCACTGCAACAGCAACGATCGCGTGGCGATCGGGGGGCGTGCCATGGTGAGTGGCAGACCGGGTGGTGGTCCCACTCTACAAGAAGGGGACCCGGAGGTGTGTTCTCAAATTATCCGTTGGGGATCACACTCCTCAGCCCTCCCCGGTAAGGTCTACTCCAAGGTACTGGAGAGGAGTCTTCGTCCGATGGTCGAATCTCGGATTCAGGAGGAGTCAGTGTGGTTTTCGTCCCGGTCGCGGAACACTGGACCAAGCTCTATACTCTCCATCGGATACTCGAGGGGTTCATGGGAGTTCGCCCAACCTGTCACACATGTGCTTTGTGGATTTGGAGAAGGCGTTCGACCCGCGTTCCCCGGGGTGTCCTTTGGGGGGTCCCTCCGGAGTACGGGGTCCCCGGGGTCCTCTGCTGAGGGCTGTTCGGATCCCTGTATGGACCGGAGCCAGAGCTGTGTTTCGCATTGCTGGCAGTAAGTCAGACCTGTTCCCGGTGCATGTTGGCTCCGCCAAGGCTGCCCTTTGTCACCGGTTCTGTTCACTGTATTTATGGACAGAATCTCTAGGCGCAGCCAGGGGCCGGAGGGGGTCCGGTTACGGGAACCACAGGATTTCATCTCTACTTTTTGGGATGATGTCGTCCTGCTGGCTCCAACGAACCAGGACCTGCAAATGCACTGGGGACGGTTTTGCAGCCGAGTGTGAAGCGGCTGGGATGAGAATCAGCACCTCCAAATCCGAGGCCCATGGTGCTTGACCAGGAAAAAGGTGCCTTGCCCTCTCCAGGTGGGTGGAGAGAGTCCTTCCTCAAGTGGAGGAGTTCAAGTATCTCGGGTCTTGTTCACCGAGTGAGGGGAGGATGGAGCGTGAGATTGACAGGGGATCGCGTGCAGCGCGTGCGCAGAGTGATGCATGGTCTCTGTATCGGACCGTTGTGGTAAAGAGGGAGCTGAGCCGAAAGGCAAAGCTCTCAATTTACCGGTCAATCTTCGTTCCCTCCCTCACCTATGGTCATGAGCTGTGGCGTAATGACCGAAAGAACGAGATCGAGGATACAAGCGGTCGAAATGAAGCTCCTCCGCAGAGTGGCTGGGCGCCTCCCTTAGAGATAGGGTGAGGAGCACGTCACTACGGGAAGCATCGAGTAGAGCCGCTGCTTCTCCACGTCTAGAGGAACCAGGTTGAGGTGGCCTCGGGGCATCAGTTCAGGATGCCACCTGGACGCCTTCCTGGAGGTGTTCCGGGCACTTCCCAAGCCGGAGGAGCCCCGGGGAAGACCCAGGACACCTGGAAACTAGTCTCCCACAGCTGGGCCTGGGCAACCCTAGGGGTCCCCCCGACGGATCTTGAGGAGTGTGTGTGGATAGGGAAGTCTGGGCGTCTCATTGCCCTTTAAGACTGCTGCCCCCTCGGGCGACCCGGCAACGGATAAAGCGGAAGAAAATGGAGGATGGAATGGTTTTTTTCATTTCGATGTCCCGCCCTCCACTGTTTCACCAATCAGAAAGTTCGTGATCCGGGCGCCAGAACTCACCGCATCAAGCTAACCTCACTGGTAAAGTACCATGTGGCGCAGAAATAAAAAGGTCTCGTTATGATTCTCAATAATGACAAAACAAGGAATAAAAACAGGATTTCTATCTTTGTGAAAAAGGTGTTGGTTATAGATTTGTTGTTGACAAAACTCTTGTCTATTCAGCTGTTATGGTCCCAGCTGGATTCGTCTGCATATCTGGCAACCTGAGTCAGGGAGAGTGGGAGAGGCTGCAGTACCACTTTTGGCCATATTTTTTACTTCTTCTTTAAAACAAGATTTTCCGATAGAACATTGGTAACTGTCATTTAGTCTTATTTAGTAAGTAAGTAATCTTTATTTATATACCGCCTTTTCACTGCAGATCTGAGTCTCAAAGCGGTTTACAATTGTTAATGAAATGTTGCTTTCGTTTCTCATTCCAAGGGAGACATTTTTTGTATCTTTTTAAAACAAGACAATTTTGCTTTGTCCCGTTCGCAAATCTTGTTTTAAGGTCAAAATGTGCTCAAATTAAGACAATTTTTTGCCAAATTTGAGCAATTTTTTACTTATTTTTGATCAGTTTTTGCAGTGTGTGCCTTTTTATACGGTTAAAGATTTTCTCCCTATCTTTTTATTTACATTATAATACTGTTTCTTGTGTCAGTTTATAATTACATTAAATTAGTAATCTATTATCTTGGAATTCAAATATTTTCAGTAGTTGTAATGCATTAAAACCCAGAAAAAGACCAAAAAGCAATGATCGGGATACAAAAGCAAATAGCAATGTGCAGTTTGAATAAGGGGTCGGATGAACTAGACGTATATTTTGAGACCGTGACAAAAAGTAGGTATTTTTCCGTGTATTTTGACCTCCTTTGCCGCCAAGAGCCTGCCACCCTTTAATAATGCCAAGGCCAGTGTCACTCTTTGCCCGTCGTTTGTTTTGCTCCATCTTTCCAGGAAAAGTCGGCCTTGTTTACCACTCCTGCTCCTCTATGAGTCACCCATATACACACCTCCACACCCACAGATAGACGCACGCCCACGCACGCACACACACACACACACACACTCATTATCAGTGTGCTGGGTGCTGCACGGTCGTAATATTTGTGAATGATTGGTTTGACTTCATATTGTCAAAAATGAAAGGGAGTGTAAAACGTGAATAGATTAGGCTTTTATGGTCTCATGGGGCAGGAGAATAACTGTGTGTGTGTGTGCGTGTCTGTGTGTGTGCGCTCGTTTTATGACTGCGAACTGTCGGACTTGACTTATGGCTCTTTTCCTCGAAGGTCTCATCGACAAAGCAACAACCAATACGAAGCTAAAAAATCCGCTCAACCCCCAACACACACACACACACACACACACACACACACACACACACACACACACACTGACACACACACATAGTTTACACAGAAAACAGACTATTATTGTTTATAGCAAGGATTTAAAAACAATTTATCAGCTGTCAACATGAGTTATGGTGACAGGCTGACAAATACTGAGCTTTTTATAATCCTAACATCAATAATCTTGGTTTTCGTTTGTGTCTGCGGACTTGCCCACCTGATGACCGTCACCTCTCTCCACTTTTTTTTCTAATGAGTTCATAAAAATGCGTATTACTACATACAAGTTGTATTATAATCCGTAATTTTATTGAAAACTTGAGCTCATTGATTCAGCTGTGTATGAACTCAGGCCGTATAAAAAGTGCTGAGTAGAGACTTTAGCGTGACGCCCGCTCTCCTCCAATCACAGAACGAGGCTGCGTCCTCTAGCCTCTACAGCGCTGCTAAACACAGTAGCATGTTAGCATAAGTGGCTATAACTCCTCTGGCTGTAACTGCAGACACAGCAAAACAGCCCAAACGACACAACAGTGAGGAAGAGAAGAGGGAACTAAAGCCAAAACATGATCAAAGAAGAAATCAAGCCCTGAACAGAGCTAGCTTACATCGTATCCTCTGGAGAGACCAGTGGGGGCGGGTCCCGGCTCAAAAGTGGCCAAAATGAGGTGCGCTGACATGCTGCAGTACCACCCCGGGTCGATGGGGGTGGACCCGGAATAAGAATTAGCCAATGCTAACATATAGCGTTGGCAGACCCCTCGAAAATGTCTTTACAGGATGGTCCAAAGGTTGGCTCTTGGCTCAAAGCTCCGTTCCACATGTGTGTCAATGCTGAGGGGGGTGATTTTTTTGGACCACTCTAGTTTAGTCGCTGTGAATTTTTAAAGTCCCTCGTTCAAATGAATAGAGTTGCGCC